CAATTACCATCACCATCATTTCATAAAAGAACTAATATGCTTACATAAAACATGATAAGAGATCTTGGGGGGGTGCTATTTCAGCTTTTAAGAACAAAAGTATAGCCTTCTATTTTTGTGAAATACATATTAAAAAATGAGGCACGCTGTGGCGCAGTGGGTCAAGCACTTGGCTGGAAGAAGGACAGTTGGAACCTCACCAGCTGCTCTGTGGGAGAAGGATGGACCAGTCCGCTTCCACAGAGATGTATAGGCGTGGAGACCCAATGGGAAGGTCTGTCTGTCTTGCAGGGTCCCTGTGAGTCAGAATCAATGCAACGGCCGTGGGTTTATATTTGAAATCACCGCCAACCAAAACAACCGCAACCATTTCTTACACATTCACCGTGAATAAAACATGGGGTGAAAAGTTATGCCGAGGCTCACAGAACCTGTTCTCTAAGAATACAAATGCCAGTTTAGGGGTTAAATTACAGAGTCACAAGAAGCGAGTCATAAACATGTAAAGCAGATGTGGTAACTGCTGGATGAATGTCAAAACTTAAATCTTTAGAGATTTCTCCCATCATTCATAGTCTTAGGACCAAGGGAGTGTTGGTGCTTGTAGTATCAAAAGGCTTTATAGGAATCATAGGAAAGGGTGTGAAGGATAGGGTCCCAGAATTTTTAAAAAGTACAAAAGTAGGAAAATTCGGAGCATACCCTAGAGAGCTTGAGCTGAAACAAACTTTCGTTGAAACAAAAGGTTCATGGCAAGTAAAAGAGGGAAGCTTGGGAAAGTAGGTTGGGATTCTGGTCTAGAGGGCCTTGATTACTAAATTAAGGTATTTGGACATTATGATTTTAGGAGATAAAAAAATCAAGGACAGTTTTCTTTAATGTATTTTTTAAAATAATGTTATTGGGGGCTCGTACAACTCTTATCACCATCCATCCATACATCTGTGTCAAGCACTTTTGTATATTTGTTTCCCTCATCATTCTCAAAACATTTGCTTTCTACTTGAGCCCTTGGTATCAGCTCCTCATTTTCTCCTCCCTCTTCCCCCCTCCCACGTGAACCCTTCATAATTTATAAATTATTATTATTTTGTTGTATCTTACATCATCTGATGTTGCCCTTCACCCATTTCTCCACTCTCCATCCCCCAGGGAGGAGGTTATATGTAGATCCTTGTAATCTGTTCCCCATTTCTTCCTCATCTTCCCTTCACCCTCCAGGTATCACCACTCACACCACTGGTCCCGAGAGGTGCATCTGTCCTGGATTCCCTGTGTTTCCAGTTCCTATTTGTACCAGTGTACATCCTCTGGTCTAGCCGGGTTTGTAAGGTACAATTGGGATCATGATAGTGGGAGGGGAGGAAGCATTTAAGAACTAGAGGAAAGTTGTATGTTTCATTGTTGCTACACTGCACCCTGACTGGCTCGTCTCCTCCCCGCGGCCCTTCTGCAAGGGGATGTCCAATTTCGCACAGATGGGTCCTCACTCCACTCTCCCCCTCATTCACAATGCTATGGTGTTCTTTTTTGTTGTCTTTGATGCTCGAGGCTAGTTTTATGTAGTTATGTAGTATAATTAAAAAACACGTCTAAATTATTTGCATAAGGGATATAGGCAAAATAGAGAAAAGCACAAAAAAGAAAATAAAGATCACTTGAAAATCTACCAATCAGAAATATATTAAAGTGCACTGATGGATAAACTTCTGCTATTTTTTTCTGGTCATATATTTATGTGCATATACTTGTGGATCATGCTAATGACACTGTTTTGTATGACACTTTATCCATTTTACGTTACTTTGTATTTTCTTCCTCATTACCTGAATAACAACATGGTATATCACCCTATAGACTGTAATGCTGGCGCTCTGGGCATGCAGTGGTTCTGCATTGGACTGTGCTGGGCTGCTAACCACAAGGTCCACAGTTCGAACCCACCCCCGCTCCTCAGGAGAGAGACAGAGCTTTCTACTCCTGTGAAGAGTTACAGTCTCAGAAACTCACAGAGGCAGTACTATTTGTTCAATTTTCCATCCAGCCTTTTCTTGTTTCCTATGCTGGTTTAAAAATTCGAGCTCTTTGAAGGAATAATAAAATTTCCACAGGTAATTTACTATTAGGGTGCTATATATATAATATACATACATTGCTATAAATATACATACATTCTTCTTTCTTCTTTTCTGAAAGATCACGAGTCTTCAGAAAATATCCTCTTCGTACTGTCTCCTGAAAGACGATGCCCCTCTGCTCTCATTCTTTCTTCCCAGGTCATAAATGTAATCTCCGCATGCTTTCTTTCTTGGGGTGAGAAGCGTCCTGCCTCCGGGAAACCCAGCTCCCACGTGAATTTCTGTTGGTTTAGAGAGCAACGGGAGGGTTCTGCACTTGACACTATTTTATTTCCTTGGCGTCCCTCCACTGTGAAGATGAAAAAGGCATTATATTACATTGACTTGAAAAAGTGATGGAAAATGAAATTTGCTCAGCAAGAAATGAAGCTTTTGGTGCTTCAATTGTGCTATTAAGGCTCCCTTCCTCAGGAATAGTTCTTAGGGGAGTAACACGGCAGTTATGGTGAGAGTTCCTTATTTAAATTGCCACTAAAAGCGCAAAGCTTAAAAATCACACAAATAAAGCCAGTTGCAAAACAATATAATCACATTAAAAATTTTTTTTTAATTAGGCGACTATGTACACACAGAATAAACTTTTACGTTTATGGTCTTCAGAGAAGCCTAGGTGCCAAAGAGCTTATGCTACATATGAAATAATCCCCTCTTGGCCTGTTCGATTCCTTATCTTCTCAGTGTCTAGTTGCCGAGGTGAAAACCCATACAGGGCACAATTTAAAAAAATAAAAGAATATCCTCTTATTTAATCTAAGGTTAAAACCAAATTAAATTAAGTAGGTACAAGGACACCCAGACAAGTCCTGCTTTTGTATTTCTCGGCGTCCCATCCACGTGGTCTCACTCCCCAGGAGAAACCGGAAGGCTTCTATGTATGTTCTATGGACTGGCAGATTACCAAAATCTTTAAAAAAATTTTGTTTGGCTCCTTATTTGCTGATGCTGTAAACCTGTATTTCTTCTACATTTTGGATAATTTTATATTGCTTAAAAGGAGCCCTGGTAGCACTTACCTGCGAACTGAAAGGTCAGAGGTTTCAACCTGCCCTGTGGCTCTGAGGGAAAAAGGTGTGACCGTGTGCTTCTGGAAAGATTATTCCAGCCCACAACTTCACGGCCAGTTTCCGCCCCCCACCCCCTCCGATATTGTTATTAATCATCATCAAGTTCTCATAGCCTGCCGAGCACCATCAAAGAGCTTTACCTGTGTTAATTTGTCAGGCCTCACTCACCACAGTCAGGGGAGGTGGGTCACACTGCAGCTGTCATTTTACCGGCTGGAAAAGTTTAAGTGTCTAAAACAACCTGTGTGTCACACAAGTGATGGGACTGAGCTATCTCTCGGGCAACTGGAATTCGATCCTACATAGGAAAAAAGAAGGGCGTGGAATTAGCCTGTAGTTTAAGATTTTTATTTCATTTCATACTTGGCATATGTACCTTTGTCTAATTGGGAGGCGAGTAAAGGCATCTGGGTCTGCTTGATGTGTTAGTTGAAAATTACTGTCATTATGAGGATGATTATTATAGTATTTAGTAATTATGCAGTCTTTATACTTCAAAGAACTGTGCTTTGTAGTCATTTATTAGCAGTGTGTAAAGAAGCACTTATCATGCATTTTTGCAGAACGAGAGACTGAGGCCGAGTGGGATGGGCACATTCTCATAAGGTAGAAGGCAACCTCGGAGATTCCCCAGACGGGGCTGAAAAGGCTCAGTCTGGACAAGCAAGTGTCATTCATGTCCACCTCTTGAAGGAATGTGTCCGTTCCGGCATTTGTTCTCCCTCTTGAATTAGAAATTACATGTAAGATGTGCTGAGAAATGAACGCCCATTCCAACTTAGGTTCTGTATTTTTCAGCTTTCGCTACATTCATGCTCTTGCGGCATTTTTGTTCAAGTGAAACCTTGCAAAATGAATATCCCGTTGCTCTACACAAGCACAATGTGACGTCGGATAGTGGTTTCCAGAGTCAATTTGGGATTGCTTAAAGTTGCTTCCATTATCTTTGAAATTATCTTCTGTTCTCGGCATGCACAAAATGTCACGATAACTTTCAATAAAGCCAAACTCCATGCAGAATGATATTCAAATTAAATGAAGTCTTAGAACCCTGGCAGTTTGTGCACTTCTAAAATGAAGATCATAAACACGCGTGTTTGACTTAGAGAAGGTATGGGAGAGGAGAAGGATCTATCTGTTCTCCGTATGGGTTCATTACAGCTAGGATAAAAGACTGCAAGAGACTAGCCCACTCTCCTGCAAATTTAATAGTCTCCTGCGATCGGGACTCTATCTTGGCCATGGCACATAGAAAAAACTCAATAAATATTAGTTCACTGGTTAAGAATATACCTCTGGAAATCGACTGGGTTTTAATTTTAGAGCTGTCACTTGCTAGCTTGCTGAAATAGTTATCTTGTACTTCCCCACCTAAAATTAAGAGTCATACCCCAAATAGAGGATTAAAATAGCGAGTAGAGTGGATAGAGCAGCAAAATTCATTAAGGTGTTTGCTAGTACTTGTATTTGTCTCTTTCTTCCATTCCCAATTCAGTTAACAAGTAAGATTAGCTTTAATTCCATTAAAATTTAGTAGTAATGATATTTATAATTTTATGTCTGCACATACTTTGCTTCTTTAGAAATGATACAACATAGTACCTCAAAATTGGCTAACCTAGATAAACAATTTTTAAATGATCTCAAAAGCACACATAAGAACAAATGTTTTTAAAAAATCTTCAAAACTTTCATGAGACCTCATATACCCGTGGTTCCAGACTCAGTGACAAGTTAACACGTGAGTGAAGCCCACTCTTTGTACTACCTACAGAAAGCAGCTGTGCCTGAGCTAACGATGTGGATGCATTGTGAGTACACTGATGCTCACTCAGTGTACCTGAGTGTTGTTGTTTTTTAATCATTTTGTTGGGGGCTCATACAACTCTTATCCCAATCCATACATACATCAGTTGTGTAAAGCACATTTGTACATTCATTACCCTCATCATTCTCAAAGCATTTGCTCTCCACTTAAGCCCCTCATTTTCGCCTCTCCCTCCACCCTCCCCCTCCCTCATGAACACTTTATAATTTATAAATTATTATTTTGTCATATCTTACAGTTGTCCGATGTTAGCTGAGTGTTTAAATCGTCATGACACTCCCTACATGGTTGGCTTTTTTTTTTTAACATGACATTTGTAAATGTGAACAATTTGGCTCAATTTATTTCTCATTATAAAACTCTGTGAGTCTCTTCATCCCTGGAGAAGAGCTATGAGCTGCCCGACGGCCAGGTCATCACCATTGGCAACGAGCGTTTCCTCTGCCCCGAGGCCCTCTTCCAGCCCTCCTTCCTGGGAATGGAATCCTGCGGCATCCACGAAACTACCTTTAACTCCATCATGAAGTGTGACATTGACATCCGTAAGGACCTCTACGCCAACACAGTCCTGTCTGGTGGCACCACCATGTACCCCGGCATTGCGGACAGAATGCACAAGGAGATCACAGCGCTGGCGCCCAGCACGATGAAGATCAAGATCATTGCTCCCCCTGAGCGCAAGTACTCCGTGTGGATCGGCGGCTCCATCCTGGCCTCGCTGTCCACCTTCCAGCAGATGTGGACCAGCAAGCAGGAGTACGATGAGTCCGGCCCCTCCATCGTCCACCGCAAATGCTTCTAGGGACTGTTCCTTAGCTGCGTTACACCCTTTCTTGAGAAAAACCTAACTTGCGCAGAAAAAAAAAGATGAGATTGGCAAAAAAAAAACAAAAAAAAACTCTGTGAGTCTGTAATGCACTTTGGAGGGCCATCGGTCAACTCTCTGTCATACACACTAGTACTAGTCCTGCGTGGTGCAAAGAGCCGATGTGCGCCAATGCTAGCCAACAAATTGGCAACGGGAATTCACCCAGAGAAGAAAGACCTGCGTATCTGCTTCTGAAAAAGCCACTGGTTGTCAGGAGTCGGAATTCAGTCCACAGCAACTGATTGATTGGACATACTGTTTAAAAAAAAGGAGAAATAAAATCAAGGCCTAAAGAAATGAGAATATAGGGTTTATTTCAGCAGTTAATTCTGTATACATATAGGGAGACCCTTCTGAGTCTAAAATAAACCCCAGAAAACAGACTCCATGTTGACTAGTTGCAATGAAGTTTATCAAGAGAAGACGAGGGAGGAGTGTTCCATTTCATTTTGACGACTTCCAATGTTCCTAGATTGATACATCATACCACAATTCGCGTGTTAATCATTGTTCGTTGTTTCTTCTCATTATGAGTCCTTCCACACCAGCAAAGGAAGGTCCGGAAGCTTTACTCCAGCCACATCATCGTGGTCGACTCTGCTTTGAAGAGGCAGGTTTTTCCTCGTCGTATTTTAAGTGCTTCTACACTGTTGGGCTAACCTGCTGGCCTTCTATATGACGCTGTTCTATTGCTATTCATATGAGGGGCTAGTCCCTCAGAGGAAGAAAGCCTATTCCTTCTCATAGTCTGTTCTCAGTCTGGAAGCTCTACTGAAACTTGTCCACGTGACCCTGCAGGTATTTGAAATACTGGTGGCATAGCTTCCAGCATCACTGTAATTCACAAACCACCACAGTACAACAAACTGATAGATGAGTGATGGGTACTACAGTTGAAATTTCACGATAATTCCTTGGCTTGGCTTCCTAACCTTTTTCGGCTTTAAAAGTTCAACCTGAGATCCCTTATAAAAACATGCAGCAGAGTGAATTTAAAATGCCTATGCGATAAATTATTATCCATTACGCATCTATATAAATAATGATTTAAAAAAAACCTCACTACCATAGAGTCAATGCTTACTCGTGGAAAACTGCTGTGGCTTTCTGAGACTGTTAACTGTTTACAGGAGTAGACAGCCCAGTTTTTCTCCTGAGGAGCTGCTGGTGCTTTTGAGCTGCTGACCATGTGGATCGGATTATAGCCCAGTGCACTACATCTCCAGGGCTCCTCTAAATAAGGATAGATGACATCACTTTCAGACAAAAGTAATTTTGTTTTGAGATTGATTTGACTAAAAAGAGGGTGACTGTAGAGAAACTTTTATGTTTCAACAGAAAATTATAAGCCCTTAGGGGTTTCAAATTCGGGTTCTGTTTATTGTCTCTGAGCAATTTTACATCTTGCTGTAAACTAAGGCAACTAATGGTTTTGCTTTCTACCTGCACATTCGATCGCTTCTTGCTACATAGCTTATGTTTTTCGGTATGTGTCTATGCATAATTAACTTCCAGGCATTAGTCATGCTCTGATTCCATTTATAATAATGGTCATTATTTTTCCTATATTAAAGGCTTCTGCTCAGGTTTATTTTCTTTCAGAGACCAAATGACCTATGAACAAAGGATAGAAAAAATAATTTATTCTTCCCTACACTCTGGTGGACATTGGAGGACATTTCATGTGTGGAGACTGAGCATATAAATTCCTTCCATCAATTGGATCAGAATTGTTGCTTGGTTTATCTCCTATCTCACTGCATTCAAAACTCCCCTCAGGGAAAATATGGACTATGAGAAGGAGAGTAGGACTTATTAAAACTGCTTGATATTATCCCTTAATTGTCCGGGGCTGTTTGCTGATCCACAGAGCTAGAGCCGAGTGCCTTTAAGGCTTGCTGGCCTAATGGGTGTCTTTGGGCATTTACCAGCAGAGCTAGATGAGTGGTGTAAGCTCTGCCCAGCAGGGCAGAGGCTGAGAGGTCCCAGCCTGGAGCGAGGCATAACTGTACGCACAGTTGAAAGAAGGCCATCTTGATTGAAGGCTTGTATCCTGAACGTTCTTGATCCTGAATGGTAATCAATTACTTCTTGGAATTGATCCAATTAATCATGGAACATGTAAAGATTGATATCCTAGGCATTTGTGAGTGAAAAATGAACCAGCATTGGCTAATTTGAGTTAAATAATCCCCTGGCTTATTATGCTGGGAATGCAAATTCAAAAGGAATTGGCTTCCCATTAAAAAAGAACACTTCCAGATCTCTCTTGAAGCACAGCGCTGTATGTGATGGGAAAATATTTATACACCTACCAAGAAGTATTCAAGTTAATACAAGTAGGATTCAAATTCATGCACCAACCAAAGCTGGTGATGAAAAATATTGAAGCATTCTACCAACTTCTCCAGTCTGAAATTGATCAAGATGTATTGATTATTGTTGGCCATTGGAATGTGAAAGTTGGGGGGTGGGGAGCAAGAGGATCACTAGTTGAAAAATAAGACCTTGTACTTATCAAGCAAAAAAAGAAAAAGAAAAAGCACACACACACCACCACTACCACCACTCAAACAAACTACACCTTAGCCTTTGTGTGACAGAATGTTCCTCCAGGTACTCACCGCAACACAGACATATACTCAGCCAGGTCAGAGACCACCTGGGCACCTAGTGCCAGCTGATAATCAGTGTGTGGAGTGGGATTGTCTTAATCATCTTTTATCTGACAATTTCTTCCGTTCACTTTAGCTACTCTGAGTTCAAGACCAATCTCCAGGGTTTCTTTAGATAGCTACTTTGGCATGATTTTTCTTTCCTGTCTTTTTAATAACCTTTGGCCTTTTCCCCCCCTGATTTTTAAAAAATCATTTTATTGGGGCTCATACAACTCTTATCATAATTCACCCATCCATCCACTGTGTCAAGCACTTTTGCATATTTGTTTCCCTCATCATTCTCAAAACATTTGTTTTCTACTTGGTATCAGCTCCTCATTTTCCCCTCCCTCCCCTCCCCCCTCCTCTACGAACCCTCGATAATTTATAAATTCTTATTTGTCACATCTTACACTGTCTGACGTCTCCCTTCACCCACTTCTCCACTGTTTGTCCCCCAGGGAGGAGGTTAAATGTAGATCCTTGTAATCTGTTCCCCATTTCTACCCCACCTTCTCTCCACCCTCCCAGTATCGTCAATCTCAGCACTGGTCCTAAAGGGATCATCTGTCCTGGATTCCCTGTGTTTCCAGTTCCTATCTGTACCAGTGCACATCCTCCGGTCCAGCCGGATTTGTAAGGTAGAATTGGGATCATGACAGTGGGCGGGGAAGGAAGCATTCAAGAACTAGAAGAGAGTTGTATGTTTCATCCTTGCTACACTGCATCCTGACTGGCTCGTCTCCTCCCCGCGGCCCGTTTGCTTTATTTATACTTGATATCCTTGATGTTATCTCACAATTTATCTGGTTTTCAGTCATTAGTGTTCAATGTGTCAAGTCTGTTATTGAAATGGTCTTTAAATTCCGGTGGATATACTCAAGGGCATACATTAGCACTTGTGGACTTGTTTAACTTTCTTACGCTTCAACTAAAGTTTGCCTGAGGACAATTGATGGTCCAGTGCCTCCTGACTCCTGCTGTTGCTCTGATAGTGAACATCTCCCTCGTCTATTTCCTTAGATGAGGTGAAATCGATTCCAAAGGCAGCTTGTGAGTGATTGAGTTGATCTGATTTCTGTGCGTTCGATCTGACAAAGTCCACATGTATAGTTACTATTATGCTGCTGAAAAATGACATTTATAATAAGTTGTTGATATCACAAAATTCTGTCATTTCTACCTCCAAGACTGTATTTTCCAACCCTGATCCTCCTTTGTTTACAGCTTTCACATTCCAGTCACCAATAATTATTAATGCATCTTGATTGCAATGTTGATCGATTTTAGAGTGCAGCAGTTGGTAAATAAAACTCGATTCTCCACTGTTGGCAATAGTGGTTGGTGTGTAAATTTGAATAATAGTTGTACTAATTAGTATATGAATATTTCCTATCACTAATAGTATATCAGGATAGAGCTTAAAATACTACTTTTGACAATGAATGCAATGTCATTCCTCTTCAATTTGTCGTGTCTGGCATAGCGCACCATATGGTTGCTTTATTCAAAATGGTCACTAGCAGGCCATTTTAGCTAATGTAGCCAAAAATATTGATTTTTGAGTGTTCTAATTTCATTTTTAACCATTCTTAATCTTTCAAGATTTAGATATTTTTATATTCCACTTTATTTATTATTGAGTATTAATGAATATTTCCAGCTGTTTGTTCTCAATTTGAATCATGCTACATTAACAAATGAAGGTCCAGAAAGTTTTACATCAGTAATGTTGGCTCCAATTGAAGGAGGCAGCTCTCCTACAGCCATGTTTTAGTTCCTTCCTCCCTGAACGACTCATTTTGCTAGACAATGTTAGACAATGTTCTGTTGTTATTCATAAGGTTTCCACTGGCTTGTCTTTTCTTTCTTTCTTTTTTTTTTTAGAAATAAATTGCCAGGTCTTTCTTCCCACTTTCTCTTTGTCTGGAAGCTCCACTGAAACCTGTCCACCGGGAGTGACATAGGGAGCGACATACGTAGCTTCCAACAGCACAGCAATACACAAGCCATCGCAGTATGGGAAACTGACAAACCAGTAGAGCACAGTGGCATTATTGGAAAGAGCAAATGCTTTTGAAGAATTTGTATCAAGACAAAGGAACAAGCCACGTGGGAGGCAGGCAACAGTGTAACAGAGGAGAAGGAAAACTACTATACTGAGGTGTAGAATCCTGGACTTTATCCAGGTGGTTTAAGTATTTGAGCAAGTTTACAAACAAACAAAACAGAAAGAAAGAACCTTGTTATTGGTGAAGGGTGAACACCCAAGTATATGGCTCCTTTGTTCAACAAAGCAGTCAAGTGGATTTGACGGGCTGGGGGTGGGGTGGGGGATGGGGGTGTGTGAGTGTCA